CCCCAAAACCCCAAAACCCCAAAACCCCGAGTAGATGCAATTTGATAGAGACTGGAAATTTAGAAATACAAAATTAACAGCTAAATTATAAATTCTTAAGTAAAAGCATTAGTAATGGCATTTTCATTCTCGGCCTCTAAATAATCCATGCCCCACGACATACTGCAGATCGAATCTCTGCAACTTAGCTAGTAAGACTTACAAGACCCTGATCAGATTCCTCCACACATGAATGGACTCAGTGTGTGCTGCTATGCACCTCTGTTCTACAACCATTACCACTTCACTTGTTCCGAGTGTTCCACTCTTTTCAATCAGGTAAGCTCTCCACCCGAGATCATCAAAAACTTAATCTGATTTTTTAATCCCTTTTACCGATTTCCCATTTTGATTCAATTCTCACCATGTTTATATAGAGAGGAGTAATGACATTGAAGGAAGAGGAGGAGTATTGCGAGACGGATATCTCTCCCTTTGAGTAGTATCGAGAGATGCTATCAAGGGAGCAGTACTAAATTTAGAGTGAGAGAGTGAAAGGCTTTTACAAATATCAACCGCATTCGAGTTTCGTTTCAGACGGACATCGAACACGCCTCGTTTAAAAATTATTGGCTTTCGGAAGACGACTACATCAATCAGACACCACAGTTTAGTTGGCTATCAAGCTAATGGACAGAGTGTTCAGTGTGTGCCCAGATATCGCCGCACAATCCTACGATCTAATAGCAAATGGGTGTTTGATGCTCGCTGCTAAGTTTGAAGAATTAGACTAAAACATCCCAATGCTGTTTGACTTGCAAATTGCAAATAAATTCAAAATCACTTACCATCAACTTAAAGGAGTAGAAGCTGAACTACTTGTTTTGCTAGACTTTGATTTTATGGCTTTAACTCCTATTCATTTCTTGAAACACTTACATGCCACAGGTCTTTTAATATCAAGTGATTAGAAATTGACAGGTATAGAAATAACAGAGAAGACTCTATTCAAAGTGAAAGAGTATGCTTTCCAGTTCTGTGAAGCAGCTTGTGAGCACTATGAACTAATCATGAAATTTTAACCTTCCATGGTTGCTGCAGTTTGCCTCTACATGGCAAGAAAGTGCTGTTAGCTTGAGTCAACTTGGAACTCAAGCATGGAAGACTACGTTGGCTACAAGCTTAGTGAAATGTAATCTTGCATTAAACAGTTTGAGAAAGAACTTGGAGTGCTGGTGCAATATGTTATTGACAACTTCAGAGAAGGTGATGCTATGAAATTCAACAAGTTCAAGAGCGTTTCAAGGAAAGTCAAAGAACAAAATATCAACCTTAAAGTATTCGAGCAGCACATGAGATTAAGAGGCATTATAAATCCATATCATGACTGTGCAATCAATAAAATTGCAGAAAAGCATGCTTAGTAAATTCAAAAACCATCAAAGCTAGTAGACTCATTAACACTGCATGAACTTGAACCTGAGGTAGAAAACAACTATGAGAACTTTGCTCACACACCCAGGTCTTTATTCTCTGAATAGATCAATGGGTCAACTGCAACCAGCCAGGCCTCTTCTTAATCATTAATCAACCTTGATGTAGCAAAAGGCAAAGATAGTTAAACATCATAGTAAAGGACTGGAGGTAAGAGTGGCAAGCATAAAAAGTAAAGATCCATCTATGAAAAGGAAAACAACTGTCAAAGAACTGGCGGCATTGACAAAGAAGACTCCTAAATACTTATCACAGTAGCTCAAAACATTAAAGAAGATCAGTAATTGAAGACAAACCTAGTAAACCACAAGAAAAACCAAAGAAATACATTAATAAGATGATGATATAAATATATATGTATAGAGACATCATTAGACTAGTGATGATAATTATTATCACAAATGCTTCTTCTCACTTGCTATTATTATATCAAGTTAATTAATAATTGCTTTCATCATACTATCAAATACTCGTTTTATATTTTTAACTTGGGGTTTTGGGGTTTTGGGGTTTTGGGG